GTATTTCGGTATTGAATAGTGGGCATTAGCATTTTCCGCCTATTCGCTGGTTAGTGTATGCTAAACCTATCCTATGAATATAACTAATTATGATCTGAATAATTCAGAATACGAGGAGTCAACTTCGATGGCTAATAATATAGAAAAATTTAGATGGACATTTGTTCCCTGATCTAGTCAGTTTAGTCGTATAGCTTTCATTGTCTTTGTAGACAGTATCATCAGCACACACTTCATATAGAAGTGAGCTATTCGAATTTCTCTTTATATGACTGACAGTTCGTTCTCTCGTTTTGAATTAAATTAATTACTGTTGATACTTGTTCTGTCGTTGTCTGAGTATTCATTTTGATTGCCCTCCCATTCCACTCTACTTTCTACCCTATGGTTGTTTATAACTTTTCTAATTGGACGGTAAATTGAATCGCTCTCGGTGCGTTTAGTGATTGTTTATTTGCCCGAGTGTCAAGTATAAAAAATTCTCTCAGATTTTGTACTTAGTCTCTCCATAATCTTAACATTTTCATATGAACAAAGCTGAATTGGGCTACTGGTGATGGTGTCTAGGGGGAAAACTTCACGCATTCACCATCTACTTCAGAAAATGTAACTCCATCAAAACTACTTTCTTGAGCTGGAAATCTAAACCATCTCAACTTAAAAACAGTGTAATAAAGAATATTTTTCAGCAGTGCCTCCGTTATTCATTACTTCCTGTTAATCGACTTCGATGTAACAGCCTTTGATGATATTATACCATTTAAATATCTAATAGTCATAAATAAATATCTGATTTGTAGATAGTTATTTCTGCATTGTATAACTTAATCAGGGAGACATATTATAGGATGTTTGTGAACTGTAATAGATACACACAGAGAGTTATTACTGGAATTAACATTAAGTGTTTACACATCTGATGTTCGTTGGACATAACGATATACTAATGAATAAAATAAATAGTTAAAATATTACCATAATTAGTATCAAATCAAACGAAAATTTAACACACATTCTATTTGTCATGAATTCAGCTTCTATATGCCCATTTATAGGATCGCTTAATTATTGACGCTAATAATATTGATAACCCTACCTTAACTGACGACCATCAACCATTGGATATCTTAGTGCTGATTAGTTCACGCAGTCAGAAATGAATACCGTAATTCGATTTATCTCCTGTTATTACTGTATTATTCTAAATCAAAACTCGTATGACATGCATAGCTTGCAAGGCCACAACTCACCACTAGCAGGAAACCACAACCTATTCATATTCATTTGATTTGTGATACAAAACAGTATAATACGTGCATAGATAGTTAACGGTACTTTATTAGCGTTAAAATATGTACGGAAGTTTACAATTAGAAAAAGCGTATACTAAAATATTTAATACATGTACAATAAGAATAGATAAAAAATATTCCTAAGAATAGTTCCATAAGTTTCACCTTTATCCATTATTTACTCACTAACAAAATATTCACCTTAAAACTAATATGAAATGGAGACCGAAACATTTGATATCAGTAATGAGCACAATACTACTAAAGCAATGATGTAATACTGAATGCCTCATTATTTTCGTTTTCAATCCATTGGTGATATAAAACATGACCTTAATCTGGCATCATCATTGAATAACCGGTTTTCTTAATTGAACACAGGTTACAGCTTAGCCACACAGTATCGATTAGCAGGTCCTCCATATTAGTGTTACTATACCTCCATATTATTGTTTTTTATAGACTATGTTGAAATACGCTAAAGTTGATGTAAGGTGATTGGAAGTAATAGGGAGAAAACCTTATCAGCCTCTTTCGAAACAATTCATCAAGTACGTCGCTTGCTGTAAAACCGAGTGAATCGAGATCGAATCCACTGAGATCACTCATCGGCTATGACTTACAGATCAACCAATGTATATACTAGCCTTATTTTGATAATTTCCTAGTTTCCTTCTTCATCAATACAACACTAATGAAAGAAATCAATTAATCCAAAGAGACCAAACCAATAAAAAAAAATCAAACCCGATCATTTGAAACGTCATGAAGGTATTATTTTTGGCCGAGATAATGGTCCGAAAAGTGTGTATATTTTGGCAGATGTGAATCTATACTTGGGGCACAAGCGACAGTACAAAAGCAACGTAGTAAACGAAAACTCAGGTGATGAAAACTGATTTATTGTTTAATGCAAAACCACACAGTGACTTAGTAAATATGAAAATCATACATTAAATGCATCATTTGCACATCTTCTTGAGTTGTCCTTTACATACTCGATTGTTCCTCTAATGCTGTTGTCTTTTCAATTGCTCTCTGATTTTCTTCCTGTTCTCTCCATTTCAATCACAGTGATATTACAGATTTGAGTAGTGATAATAATGGGGCAAACGGTGACGTCTGAGACCATCATATGAAGGATTACTATTTATATTTTTATCGTGGAATTGAGTATTTGGACTGTTGTATTTCTATATTCGCATATTCCTAAGCTTTCGTTTGATCGATAAATCTTTGTCATATCTTAATGTTCCAAATTTATTATTAGTTAATTATTCATGTGTCACTTATGACTACCTTTTGTGCATATTATAAATTTCTGATTATGTTGTTGTGTGGTCAGAAATTCCAAGGAATTTGTTTTATGAGTTTTAAGTAATAATCGAATTGAATGTAATCGAGAACTGATCTACCCTCTGATTCGTCAACGGAGCTCGAGGACCGGTAAGGGTAAACGTCTTCGTTATTGTTCATTGATCGGTGTGTCAATAATTGGTAAATAGAATACAGATGCTACTGGCAGCATAGGTGAACTAATCAACAATGTGATTAGAGAGAGAAGTAAAAAAATTGCTTTCTTATCTTTACTGCCCGATCACATGGGACCCAAAACAAGTAAACGAAAGAAAATAATAGGTTATTTTATTCTAAGATAACACAAGCTTAAATAGTGAAACGGAAACAATCCGTTTCCGGATCAGCATCAACCGAAGAACCACTGAAAATTAAGTTTGTGGGTCACTAACTTTAAGACGGTTTCCCAAACGTTTTAACTGATATAGCTCACCAATTTCAAGTTTGATACAAGTTTCGTCGAAGGCGTTAGACTATAATCGATGTACATTACATTCTCATTCATTGAATATTTCAAGATCAAGTACTAAACACATATTAATAATAAAACATACAAATCGATTGTTGTCGTCCCTGGTATATATCTTAATTAAATACAATTCATTTGACTTTCGCTTGGTCTGTTTCGAGTTATTGATTGTTTGTAATGGAATATAATCAACGGAGATACAAATGTAACTTTCATTCAGTGTTAGTGTATTTTCACCTGATATTTTTAAACTTCTAGAATAAGGTTAAACACATATTATAGATAAGAAAAGCTGTGTAATTCATCCTAGTATGCCTGACGCTGAGGAAAGTTCGTTCAACATCTGATACAGTCCTACGTTTATAGCCTCTAGAAAAGAGATCCAGATCACCGCCTTCACGTCAAAGGGAGTGTTTTGTGAAGGGTTGAAAAGCGGACATCCGGAACTTGAATAGAGTAAATGGATATGAATAGTGCATCAGGGATAATGGGAAAATTCTAATTACAAACCAATGATGTGGATGCATTTTCGAACTTTTTCGTCTCATTTTGCTATACTGTTTTGTGTATTACACATTGAAAATATCGTATAAAAAACTAGGAGGAAAACAGTAGTGCAATACATCCTGTTTTTTTTAAAAGTTACTTCAGTCTATATCAATTCTCAATAATAAAAAAAAGATTTCAAGTGGAATTGAAAGCCATCTTCATTGATAATAAGAATCATAAACTCGCTAGTGGAAGCTGAGGTAAATTTCCCAATATTTATGTTGGAATTCGTGTTAACAGTTGTGACGACGGACCACGAGTGAACTCGAGGAAGTTGTAGGAGGCTCAGAAGGAGCCGAAGATATTCCATCCAATCACCTTTTGGAAGAATGTTCCAGAATTCTTACGTGTAGCTTCCCGATTGGATAATGCTAACAACCCCCTCTGTATGCTGACTGGTGAACTGTAATGATGATTTTGTTCTTACTAAAAACTATAAATACCTGACAATTTTGTACTATAATTGACACTATCTGGGAATATTATTCCTTTAATTAGTCTTTTGTCTTCTCATTGCGACCTGGAAGGGTTCTGGCGTTCTAGTGCTCACGTTATACGCGGTATGTCAAGAACAACCTTCTAGATATAACAACAGTAGATTTAACTAAATCAGTGGAGGTCAGAGTCACTTATTAATGATGTATAGAATAATGTTAGTATTAAACGATGAATTAGGCGAAATCGCGAACATAAAACACTGAATTCTAAATTGTTAGGTTTAATGCTATTAACGTTCATTAAAACATCTATAAGTTATAGGATCCAATCTCTTCAGAAGTTACAAGTGTGTATTATTGTTGAAAAGTTAAATCCACTGAAGCTAAAGATGTCTAAAAGTTACTAGTATAGGGGTTATGGGGATTATTAAGTTTTTGATTGAGATCATGAACCGATTGAAGTTAGACCACCACCTTTGGAAACCTGGAAGCACTGGACGGCCGTTTCGTCCTATTGTGGGACTCCTCAGCAGTGTGCATCCACGATCCCGCTCGCGGGATTCGAACCCAGAGCCTTCAGTCCCGCGCGCGGACGCTTAAATTACTGGACCACTGAGCCGGCATCCAATGATGATAGTGTCTAACATCAAACAATTCACGAAATTACGCGACCAACTTACATTGTACTGAGGTAGATACCTGTCTCTACCCGACATGGATTAGCTCCACTGGTCACATGAGCTCACTAGAACTCGGAGAATCCCCTCACGAAGCTAGTCACTAGTGATCACATGTTAGTTACTAGTATAGGGGTTGTGGTCTCAATCAAGTTGTGATCTCAATCAAAAATGTCTAAAAGTGTTAGTGGACATTTAAAATAATATTCCAGTTGATCACAATACACAGTCAAAATTATCTATAAACTAGATAATCTTATTACTATATTTAAATGAAGTAACCGTCTTTTATTAGGTGATTGAATAATCAAACAATCAATTCATTTTATTTTTCATAGCGAACATTAGTATTAATCAGTCAAATTATATGATATAATAAAGTATATACTACTGAAAAGAAACATAACATGAAAATTACACATAATGAATATTAGTGTGTTTAATTGCTTACTTGTTGATATAAGTAATTTACACTTCTTCAATACACATATTTATAGTATAAATGTGTCTATAATTCATTATTCAATTAAAAGAAAACATAATTGAACATTGAATATGCAATCAAAGACAAAGTATAACATTATGTAACTAAATAAAAACAGGAAACAACAATCAAGTGCATAATAGTAATTTAATTAAAAGGTAAAACAAAAACAATCGTTCTTCTAAAATAAAACAAATAGAGAAAGAAAAGATGAGATAGAAAACAGAGTACAATTTCTTGTATAACATTTAACCAACCCATGCTTAGATATTAAAAAAACAAGAAAAGGAAACAATTGACGAAATAATGAAATAAAATCGAAAAAAAAAAGAACGAGAAGAAACAGATAATTTGGCAAGACACATTGTTATTGTCACTATCTTTCTGAGAACACAGTAACAATATCATTGCATCATCAACATTATCATCACCAAAGGTAATAACACAATGTGAAAATGATAAAAGACAAATGTCATTAAAATTTACAGTAAGAAAACAAAAAAAAAAGAGGGGAAACTTTAAAAACAAAAAAAAGGAACCATAATGAATTTTTTCTTCCAATAAAAATACTAAAAAATACCAAGTGTATTCTTTTTATCTATTTGTAAAAATAGAATTATTTCTAGATTTGTTACTCTATAATACACTGGACAAATAAGTAGAATTTACACAAGAGACAAAAACATACAGAATACATGTAAAGTGATATCTTATTTGCACTTTTACCTGTATATATATATATATATATATGTGTATTATAACAGAAGTAAAGAAGGACATAATTTTAAAAAGTGAAGGTGCAATTTCTAGTTTTGCAACATTTTCATTTTAATACAACATTGTCATCATCATAATGAGAATGATGTTTATTATTTGATCCAATTAATTGTGAACAGGTGAAAAGAGAAGATTTACATCACTGTGATTAGTTATTGATTTGTTTCATCAGAGAAACTTGAAGACTTGAAAAACAAACTGTAAACTACATTATTATCATTCTTAACACACAACCATTATTCCTACTTTTATGAATGATATAACACAACAGTAGGATTTTCTAATTATACTCAGAAGAATCTTGTTCAGAATAAAATTTGATCTTTAATAGTTATTGTTATTGATGCTGTTATTAATCTTGGCTTTGTTGCTGCACGGGAAACATGAGACGTTTTGAACGCATATAGCTGATCATTGGTAAACGATTTAAGGTGGAACGAACAGATTCACTTAATTTAGAACGTTTATTGATTTCTAACAATTTCAAATCAGCTTCTACTAATAATGAGGGTGGTTTTATTGTTGTTATCGGTGAAGGAATAGTGAGAACTGATAGTTCAGCTTCCAAATCTATGAGATAAAAATAAGAATAAAGGTTTTTTGAATAGAACTGGATAAATTCTACAAACATTCGCATCACTATGAAGTTTGTACAAGATATCATATCATAGATAGCAATAATGACATCAAGTAAATACTGCGTAAAGAAAAATGACTACTGGAGAATTATTCTTTTATCAAATGTGCAGTGATGCATTGCTTCAGGCAGTTAGGTTTCAATCAGTAAACCATAGGTTCAAAACCCGCCAAATTCGATTTCATTGCTGTGCTGGATTCAAATGGAGTTATGTGTCATTTGTGTACGCTTCACCTCCCGGTATTATTCTTATTGTACAGTGATTAAAGCATTTGACATCCAGCCACTAAGTTGCAGGTTCCAATCCCGCTTCATTCTACTTTAGCCTGGGGAACTGAGTAGTATCATTACCCCTCCATATATATAAACAAACACACTTAGAGTGTAGCTTGAAGTCGAATATACGGATCTGTATCTGGTAAATAGATTAACAAGTAAATAAAAGTATCACTAGTCCTTACAAAAACAGTGTGCCTAAAAGTGAAATAAACAAAAACTGTATTTAGTAAATACGTTATATTGCTGTAATTACTACCGTTCAACACTAGAAAAATACATGAGATAATCATTACTATATTGAGAATCTGTTATAACGCTCGGCTTTTCTACACTAGATTCCCTCCCAGTGTCTATTCTACAGGACTCCAACACAATTCAGATCAAGAACACATGATTAGCCTGACTAGAACGGAAATATATTATCACACCAAAAACTGACAACAATCAACAATCAATAATAAGGATAGGAGAATATATAACTCAAGAAGGAACGAATTGAGCGAAGAAATTTCTTTTCAATTAGTTTTTCATCATGGCTCTACACTAACATATGATTTACAATAATGATATAATACTCATCGAGTGGATCCGTTACGTAATAATTACATAATGACATTTCAATTAACATTGAGTAATTGGAAGAAAGAGGATTATTAATAATGAAAATAATTATTAAATCAAGAAGTTGCTACGTTGCGTAATATAAGAAAAAGAGAAGGAACAGAATTTTATAACGGATGGTCAATAGAATAGTAGCTATGTAAGAATCAAGAGATGAATGTTTAGGAGTCATAAAGTTCAAAAACAACAAACAAAATTACAAGAAAAATTTCCTTTTAAAAAAAATCAAATTAAAGAAGTATGAAAAATAGTTCTGTTGAAGGAAATCTTATACCGATGGCCAAGGCAGCGAAAGTGGTTGTACAAATCTCTTTTGAATGCAAAGGTCAGGTTTGTGAACATGGATTGCGATGGCTTCCGCAATGTGCACAAGACGCACTCGTAAACCATGTGGCGAATTCGATGGGATATTGTAAATAACCTTAAAAGTTTTATTCAATTCAACGTGATGACCTGTGTCAACCAAGTGAGAGAGAATAGAACTTTTAATCACCTTTACCTGTCCTTTCCTTAAACCCGATGGATGATGTTCTGTAATACTATGACGAACTTGCCGGATTGTACGCCCTATATAGCTGGCTCCACAGGAGCAGTTGAACCGATAGATACACATGGACTTGGCGAATTCAGGCAGTCTGTCTTTATTGGCCGTTCTTATTTTGGGGTAATTGTAGAAGATAGCATTTAATCTGGTTGTATTAAATGTTTTTTGTACAGCCCTTCTTAGTTTCTGAGTCACGATTTCTTCAGTGGTGTCATTTATGAATTGTAATTTTAAGAACAGGACTTTCTTGGGGACGGTAGGTATCTTTGCCTTTTTTTCATCGCCATCATGTGTTAGTCGATGAATTTCCTAGGGTACCCATTCGTACTAAGTCCCGAATATTAACCAATTCATCTTCAATGGTGTCTTCCGAGCAAATCATTCTGCCATGATGAGTCAAGATCTTTATTAAGTTCCTTTTGTGTGTGATTGGAACTGCACTATAGAAATGAGTGTATTGTCCTGTTGCAGACTTTCTGTGTACTCCTCTTTTTAAAGTTCCGTCTGTTCTTCTAGTTAGTTGGATATCTAGAAATGATATGCTATTGTTCTGCTCATCTTCTGATGTAAAATTAATTGATGTATGAACGTTATTAAATATATTAAGTAGGTTGTCCTTATCATGTTCTTTTTCTACTACTATGAAAGTATCGTCTATATAGCGATAATAAGTTGTTAAATGGTTGTGCTTTTAGGTTGTCCATTTTCCAGTTTTACAAGGAAAATATCCGCCAGTACAGGGTCCAATTGTGTACCATGGCAACTCCATCTAGTTGTCTATAGTATACGTTGTCAAATCTGAATTTGGCATTCATTGTGCATCTAAGAATTAACCGTTTTATTGCGGATGCGGGAATCGGGGTTTCTATGCCCTTCATTGTTAGTTCATTGCAAATAAAACCTACCGTCCCAAGTAGTGGAATGTTAATGAGTGAGGATGATACATCAAGTGATATGAAGTTATTCTTGACTGATAGATTTTTTATGTTCTCAACAAACTCAAAGGAATACTTGACACTAGGCTTGACAACTTCTTTGTGTAATGGTTTAAGAATTTGCACCAACCATTTCGCTATAGTATGATACGCTGAGTTATTCATGTCTAAAACTGTCGAAGGGGCAAGCCGCTTTTGTGTATTTTTGGCAGGCCACATATAACTCATCTAACGCCTGTCAGACTATCTACAGGTCTGACTAAGCAAACAACCAATCATTATCATTCTCGCCCACACATCAGAATCATAAGTAAAACTTTCAACAGTTCCTTATAATTCGTTACACAAAGAGAATTTGGCTAAGGTCAAAAAGTAGTTAGTTTCCAACTTTCAGCGATAGTTCTGAATTACAACTAGTCAAAATAACTCATCATTCGTGAACTATAAATCATATTACAGGTTTAAGCGCTAGTAATACAATGCGGATGCTTAAATTTAGTAGTTCGAGTAAGGTCAGAATTTACAACCTAGCAGCTGAAACTCCAGCACTCTAATCGATAAGCCACAACTCCAGATAATTTTGTGGCAAAAGTTAACAAATAGTAGAAAGATTACGGTGGACAAAATTAAACCACCAACTGTTTGTTTGAATAGTTCGCTTGAAGTGTTACTCACTACACTTAACAATATTTGAACAGAATTCATAATTGACAATTTACACCCCAAATGCCATGGTACGATCAACAGAGGAGAGTTTGTTCTGACGAGTGCCAAGTAGCACGAAACCCGGGTCCAGGGTCTCCTGTTGACTACCTCCAACCACCATCTAAATCTCAATACATAGTGCCCGCAGTGTCCAGTCACCTAGACTATTGGCCACATTGCAACATGATCGATAGCATTCGATCTGCACTAATAAGGACTAGACAAGCATGACATTGATCACCACCCAGTGATCAATCAATTGTGAGTTTGTTCTATCGCTTGAAATGCTCTCATATGGCCATGCGTATACATCCACTCCATGAAAGTCTTGTCCACTATTTTCTCGCAGCAAGGGTGTTGTTCACGAAACTGAAATGACGAGAAACAAACGTGAAGCGCTTAAACTGGGTCCGTGGGTCATCCGTGCCCACTTAGAAGAGCGAGAAATCACTGATCCCAAACCAATGGTGCACATCGGCTCCAGGATCATGAAGGAAGGATTAGATTTCTAGATCAAAAGCTCGAGGAGTGTCCCTCTATGAAAACCACCTGCTTCGGTTTCGGCACCTAGGCAGTATCCCAGCTCACGCAAGAATTTAACGACTTATTGAGTAGTATATATATATATATATATATATATATATATATATATATATATATAAAGTAAAGATTTCTTATGATCCTCTCCACTCCACACTTCAGGATACTTTGTACGGTTACCATTTTACGACTAGACTATGATATGAAGATCACTAATTTAGTACACGTAATAAGTAAACATTTAAACGCAGTTTGTTTTTATTTAACAAAATAAAAGTTCACTTCTTAACTTCAATTAAAGGAATAACATTTCAAGTTTTTTTCTGCAATCATCTCCCTTTACAAACACCTTAATGAAATTGATCATATTATGAGTGAATACGGTGAATATGAATGTCAAATGTATTTAATTTTTTAGACAGATAGAAAAATAGACTATTATTTTCTTTGATATAATGAAAAATATGAGAATACTGTATATCTAGACAAGAGTTCAGACAGTTTAGTTACGAAATTCGGAAAAAAAACTGTAATCAATGTTTACAGACCTTCTTTTATACACAGAAATGAGAATAGAATCATACAGTTTTTATTTTAGAAACTTGACAATCTATGTTTCATATCAGAATTCTCTTTTAAAACACGACATAAGCAATCGGTTGAGTACCATAATGGTAATGTCTGTGACAATGGATGCTAAGTAACTATGGTTTCGAATTTCACTAGCAATGTCATTCCCTTAACTATTGCACAAAGCATATATTGAAAAGCGTTAGCTAGAATGAAAACTAGGTCCAGGGCTTACTTCTAACTGTCTTCAGCTGCCCGATATGCTAAATATGATAAGCCCTTCTAGAATAGTGTCCATATTGTAAATTGATCGATAGGATTCAGTCAACACTAAAAGAATACATAAATATGACACAGCTTACTGCTCAGCAAACAATCAGCTTGAAGTAAATAAGGAACCCAAAACGAAGTGCTTTTTATACACTAGTTTATAATCCAAACATATTGCATGAAGGCTACCCATGTGTTTAAATCATGGTTAACGATACATAACTTATTTATTTAAAAGCTGAAAATACAGACTACTAAGATATGATTCTATTACCGAACATAGTTGGGAGATCCAAACTCTAGATTATCAAATACATACCTAGTTGATGGGGTTTTGTAGAAATTGGTTTAATTTGTAGGTTACATTTTTCACGAATTGATCCCAGTTGGGGGGCACTGAGAACTGGGGAGCACTTGTTAGGTGTTTTGTGACAGTATGGGACTTCTCGATAGGGCGCAGTCACGACACCACCAGGGACTAAATCAAAGATTTTCAGATCTTGTGTACCACCAACATAACTGGACCTAACCAATCACAACGTTGATTTAGAACTTCAGAAACATCTTGAAGTCAACGGTGAGCTACTAGGACAGAACAGCTGTCGAGTACTCTTCAGCTTTCAATGATAACCCAACCTACATATATACATTTGACTAATAATACAACAAAATTACCAGTACTTAATGATAAGACATTCTTACGAAAAAAGACTACCTGATAATTCAGAATGTTTAGCCTTCCCATTTGTGTGAAGATTAGGTTTATTTTTAGTTTCGCGTGTTTCAAAAAAGTCCAAATCCAGAACTTGATTTATTTTACCTAAAATATGAGAAAGAATAGGATTGAGAAATATCTACGAAATGATGGAACGCTCAGTTTTATCTATCGGTTTTCTAAAAAAAGCCATTTTAAAACATCGGAAGACTTAAACAGATTACAATGTATAATTGATTAGCTAGTGGAATGCATAATTCATTTGTTAAACTTACACTTCTGTTATAATAATATAAATATGTAGTGTTGAAAGAAAACGGTTTGCTCATTTCAACCTTGTTAGTACCATAAGTACATGGTCTATGCAATAGTACAACATTTTAGAGTATGATCTAACCAATAGGGCAAAAATGTGCTGAGCATAATTCCCACTAGTAATCATTCGGAGTTTATAAAGTAATCCAAAAATTTTAATTGTGATTGATACAATCGATCAGTATAGAGACTGACATGAACTCCGATCGACAGTATTTAAATACTTGTCAAGGAGATCGTCAAATCTAACTTCAATATACATAGGCTCTATGATAAAGAGAAACATGATGTTCTCTCGACTAATGTAACTCATTTACAGTATACAAATTCGTGTAATCGTCTTTGAGGAACATTTTATATATGAGGGCGGAGACACTATCTGGCTCCCCAAATTGCAGAAACCGGAGTAAGGTACGAGCTAGTTACCTAGTAATTTAAAGATAAACATTGTTTAACTATCAAGTATGTGATAAGATAATATGAAGCAACACAAATTAATAATTTCAGTTGGTTACTGAAATTCTTTACCAAATATTTGGTAGTTGATTAGGTTTGCTGACATAGAAGTTGAAAGAAAGCAAGTGGCGGCTAAACAAAGAATAACATCAGTCCATAAAACCACTGAGTGTTGAAATGAAACATGTTGGTAGATTCAGATTACCTAGTTGAGGTCAACACAATTATTTTAACTAATAGTTGAAGACATTGAATGAGATGGGTCAAAAGTGATTATAATGGTGCAGATCCATTTACTCCTTATTTTACCTTATATCCTGAGTTTTGACACTATCCTACATTTTTTTCATTCAGCGAATCTATTCTTTATTGTCAAATCATATTATCTATGCCTAATCTTTTAGACTACCACTGATAGTACTACTACTTCTGCTGAATTGGCATTTATCTTGATAACTTCATCTCGCTGTGCTAATATGGTGTTGGAATTTGAACCAAAGCACAAAAGTCTCAGGCTCTATGTTGCCTACGACTGACCGATTTCAAAGAAATTGAAGATGGATTAAAATTTGAGAATTGTAGTGGACTATAGAACATATTAAAACGATATTATTCACAGGACGATTTCCTAGTCTTTAATATTAAGGAAAAAATTAATAAAGAAATTACTTACTGTCTGTATCGCTGCAATTAGTATTATGCGTTAAACTATTAGATGGAGATTTGTCGTTGAAACCACCTGTCGGCAACAAAACATTTGCATGATTTTCTTGACTAGTTGAACTGTCATTTAATGTGATATTCTTATGCAAATCCTGACTATTCAACCGAACTGGTTCCAGTAGACGAAGTTGACTAGCGAATGCAGGAATCTGTTGGTTTTTTTTAAATAGAACATTAAATGATATTAGTAATATTTATAAACTAAATATAATTTGAGTGCTTGGCCTGAGACCCGAAGGTTCTGCCTTCTATCCCTAGAGATGAACTGGATGAAAATTTCTGAGAAGTCCTATACTTGATCAAAACACCTCTTTAATCATCTATGGTTTTTAGTCATGCTCCAATTGAGATGAGTTTATGATTATTACATTCTACAGATTAAATACAATTTGTTAATAATGCCAACTAATCTGAAATATTTAGTAATAAAAGTATTCACTGTTTTTCTAGATGAAATAGATTACAAGAAAACAAACATTCAAATTCTACGAAATTTTATTACATAACTTAGAAAATAAATAGTTTTAATTATTTGTGATTTTATAGGAGAAAGATTCATTACGTTTATTATTTATTTATTTGAACACATAAATATTGGTACAAGAGGGCACCAAATATATATGCGCCACACAAAACAATGGGAATTTGAAGAGGAGAAGGAAAAAAGGTGAGGAGCGTAAAAAAAGCGAATGTCCGGCGCTTTAACCGGATCCAAAACCAACGGTGTACACGGGCTCCAGTATCCTGTGGGAACAAATGGTGTATGAACCAATTTCTTGGTCACCCGGCTACCATGGGACTGCATCTCCTCACAATGCTCGACTGCCTTGTGGGTCAGACCTTTAAGTCAAAGGCTCGGGGTGTGGCCCCCTAAGAAAACCACCTGCTTCAGTCTGGGCACCCAGGCAGGATCACAGCCCATACACAAAAAATGATGAACTGTCTAAAAATGAGGTTCATTACGACAAAAACGTTATGACTTTTATGTCACATTAATAGGATAACTCATATCAATGATTTGATACAACTTAAAATCAACCTGAATAAATATATACACATGAACATATCATTGACTAATTTCAATGGTTAAACAGACTATCCTATTTCGGCATTATATTCCATTTAGTGAATTTAAATATATTTCATTCATTATAATATTTTAAAATACAATCACATAAGAATTAGATGTGTCATCCTTCACCAATCGAGAATTGTTTTACAAAAATGTACTCGGAGAAAAAAAATAGTAATTTACTAGCCAAACAAGTTGTATCCATGATATAATATCAAGTAAACCAAATCATGGCTGTTATTTAAGAAGCAAGTTTTTTTACTACAGGGTATTACGGAAAGTAAATATTGAAAGGTATATCTTCTAAAAGTAGGTTCTCGACATTTTTAACACTTCCGATATCGTTTTTTTCTTCAATTTAAATAGAAGTCATGGTTGAATTACACTGTCAGACGATGAGATTAGAGCTCGGTCAACAGAATTCGACTAGCAGTAACATTTAAGGGAAAATGATATTAGTGACTATTAAATGATCAATTACAATAAACATTTCAGTCGTAAAGAAAGTTAGTAGCTGTCTAAATAGCTTAGTGAGGCAGCCAAACGAAGATGTGTGATCAAACTATAAAGACACTGACATTTGGTTCGGACTATGATGATATATGTAAGCCACTTGATTCAAGTTCTCACGATGATCGGAACCAGTGGTTGGAGACGATGGATGACATAATTCGAAATCAGTCACAATGGCACAGATGCATTTACTCATTGACTTACTCTACATCTGAACTTGTCCTAATTGCTCATGCGCACTTTTTCTTTCTGTCTTTTGAACCAGATTCTTAATGCTCTGTATTTTTCATTGTCCACTAGTTTCCTTTATAAATCTTGATAGTGTAGTGAGACAATGGAGTTGAATTGAACAATGTGATTTATTCTGGTTATACATATCGAACAGTCTAATCATTATCATTCCTACTACATTGTTTCGATTTATCCATCATTTATCCTGTTAATTTCCTCTCGTTGTGCTAATATGGTAGGGCGACTTAGGCTAACGTTCATATGTGTCAGACTCTATATTGATTGCGACTGAGTGACCAATAGTTCGGTGGGAAAGTCTCTGACTGCGGCATTAGGTAGCCACGTATTCAGACCCCAAATGAAGCAATAATTCATTTAAGATCACAGGTACATCCTGATGACAAGCACTAAATAGCTTTAAATCTAGTTTCAAAGGTTCCCGTCGATCGGCTCAGACAACCCAACAACAGGAATAATTCTATTTACGTTCTTTTATAAGAATGAATTCAGTCAGTAACCTATGATTGCATTGTATTCGTTTATTCATTTGAACCAGAGGTTAAAGTACTACACTGTTCTTTTAAAATTCGCAAATTTATCACATAAAGAACCATCCAGCAACATCATGCGAAGCAAGATTTCATTTTTCACAAAAAATGTAGATAATAAGTTTAAGCCAACATTTCTAAACATGCACTGAAATTTATTGATGACTATGAAATTATAAATAACAGGAGTAAATCTAGAATAAACAGACTATAATTAGTAACAGGATCCAAGGGACACATGTTTCCTTCTAGTTGGAACTCGCCAACTGAATGTACTTGTAATATATTAGTATTGAAATTTGCACTAAGACTTAAGTCCATTACATTTCAATTCAAACTCCAACGCATTATTCACTAAGTTATAGAGTTCAAATAGCCACTACATTGTCCAACAACTATGATAGTTAGATCATTATTAGTAGAGGTTGAAATTCAGGGCTACAACTTGATCAGTTAGACTCTTTCTAAATAAGAATATAATAAGAATATTGAGATAGAAAAACACTAATTAAAACTAGTTACATTATCTAACATTTCATAGTGATATAAACTATATAAATGTGTGAATTTTCTCAGTAAATAATAGTAATTATATTCTTTTAAGTTTCTTTCTATTATTAATTAAAACCTGTTGAGTTGCTAAGGGATAACAAATTAAGAAACATGTAATGAATGTTTAATCATTGATCAAATATTATTATTTCACTATTTGTTTTAATGGTTATTGATTTATGGTAATTTTTTGAAGTTTTCATTTTATTACTGATAACAAGTAGAATTTTACAGAAATCGATTTTTAATCAATAAATTGGTAAAAATTAATGTCATAAATAAAAGTTTTACTGGTATAATATAATGGTCAACTGATTAGAATAGTTTTTTTGAGAAATGAAGTATAGTCAATTTAATGAAATAAGAAGTAATTTAATTGAAAATATCATAATACTGAATATAAGACATTCATCACAATTAATTGATCACTGGATGGTGATCAATCAATTTTGATTACATCTTAGTCCTACCGGAGGTCGGTCACGGTCCGGATAGCCCAGTGGTAACGTCTCTAACTGTGAAGCTGGGTGACATGGGATCGAATCCATCAAGGAGCACCAGTTCCCTCAAGATTACAGGTACACCTTGCTGATGAGTGCCAAATAGAACGAAACCCGGGTTCAGGGTTTCCTGTTGACTACCTCCAACCACCATCTTATAAGATATTCATCTATGAAGGCTGTTGTTCAGTCTACGCTGTCAAACAAGATGATTAACCTAATCAGAAAAGGAAGGTTTTGGAATATCAGGGAAAATTTGTAATTCCAGTGGATATATATAGTGATGTATTCAATGAGTCTAATTATTTGGTTGTGAAGCATTAATTGTCGTTTTGGGTACAATTAGCGGTGACTTTAAATAGAAGTCAGTACTTTAGCATTATTTTAAAAGGGATACATTTTAATAACCCAGGTGATAGTTCATCGTCTTATAAAGGCTTTATCTCCACGTGCATTTGTATCGCCCACTGAGTTTTGTTAGATTGAACCTTACAGTTACGCACTCAAAAACATATATTACAATGAAGGTAACTGCAAGCACAAATTCAACTAGGATAATGGCGAAATTTTAAACCGACGAATGTCTAGGAATGGTGAAGGATTCCTTATTGTACCAAAATATAATAATGAATAAAGCCATTAATAATAATAGTAATAATAATAAAGTCAATTTTCAGTCAACATATATATTGGTATAATTCTAATGGATGACGATCAGGTCAATCGTTCATGTGATTAGAAGAGGTTAACTAAACCCAAAAGCCAATGGGAGTATAAATGAAGGTTTTGCAAAAACAATTAATTATTTATTAGGTCATTAGAACATATTGATTAAACACTGATATAATGTGTGAAGATTATATTTGAAATAATCTCAGCGATTGAAATTTAAATAATTCCAACGTTTCGTCCAACAAACACGTCTGGACTTCTTCAGGGTAACAACAATCACAACAATCAAATCACATCAGATAAACATAAACGTTGCGGAGGCTCTTCACTCAAACACTACCAGTCGAGTGAGAGCTCATGGAGAACTGTTAACTGATTTTGCAACCTTCATTTTTGTCCGATTTCATCATAGACGTGCTGCTAGAAATAACATCCTTGTCGACTGTATTCTCAGGAATTGATCACCCACCAGGAGGTCCACTTATTGTCTTAGAATACGCGGAAGACATAACCCTGTTTAGTGAGGACGCTGGTAAAATCACATCACATATAATGACTTCTCTATACTCGACGTCAATTTTTTTCAAACTATTCGTTCTAATATTGACGAATATTTGTATAAACTGGTAGAATAATTCTTTAAAGCTGGCTTCGATTTGAGGTAGTCGCTGATTATGTTGACCAGAACAAAAATGAAGACTGAAAATTCACCACGTAATACCAATTAAGTGAAGGTTATCGAGTTTCCTAACAGGTTTCATCTTATTTCTTGTTTCACTTCATATTGAAAAACAATCAACACTAAGCTTCGAGATGTTCTAAGGAACTACTAAGAGTAGTCGGATAACTTTATAATATTATTAATGCGGACTCTTAATATATGTTAATTGAAGTCATATTAGTGTCCTTTCAATATATGTGAGCATTTAAATGCCCTAATACAACCAAACATGAAAGTTCGTTCTCGAAATCCAACGAGTATTTTAAGCACTCATACATACATACGTCAAATTTCCATTTAGAACAAATTAATAAATAGCGGTTGCCAATAGCTGCATAGCTTCAGCTAACCAGTTCTTAGGAAATTTATGAACAACGATTTTCTTTCTATTTCTTATTCTGACGTAAAACAGTATATCACATTGAAGTAAGAAGCATATGCAACATAATCTCAATACGTTCTACAAACATTAAGTTCACCTTTTCTTCCTGATAATATACTACGCGGTACCTCGAACGTCATTGCAGAACTTTTGCATCACATAACTCATTTTGAAAATAAAACACAATATTAGACAAGAAATCAATAATACGGAGAAGATAGTGAATATTTCTTACTGCATGTTGGGGATTCACATTAATAGCATTCAAATATGTCATGAAAATGGGAGATTTCCACCATTGTTGATTTATTTCAGGAAGTCGATCAGGATTGCATAGCCGACTCCAGATACTTGAGAAAAAGATTGAAATAAAGTAGTTAAAACTCTTTAACATTTTTTCATTTTAAAAAAACATGAATTTTATAGCGTATACGGCCTGTAACTAGGCTAACTGATTTGTTAATGATCAGTTAAGCTTTTATTATTATTATTATTATTATTATTATTATTATTATTATTATTATTATTATTATTATTATTATTATTATTAAGGAGTCGTATTCTCTCGTTGTCGATATTCAGGGCTGAAAATTGATCGATCTATGTTAGCATCTGTGTATTCTGTGTGGTAGGCCTCGATATAGTCCTTTACAAGTCTGACGGATTTCGGCTAGTGATGGGATACAGGATCCATGTTTCGTCCTACTTGAGATTAGTAATCTGAATGAACCTGCATCTCGTTGTTGGTGTTCATATTGGGTCTTGAACCTAGAACGCTTGACTATAAACCCTATGGAGCTACTGCGTATATAGGGTTCTAATGTGAATATCAACACTGTGATGCAATTAAACCCACTTGAAGAGTCCAAAATAAGACGAAACAAACATCCTTCATTTATCCTCTAGCCACAATTCACCTATTCTGCAGATCGAATGAGTTGTTTGTGAGGATTTGTAGATGCAGGGCTTTAAAAAACTATTGTTATTATTATATTAGATTTCACATTTACTTCAGCAAAAAAAGAGCCAGGTATATGTTTATTACAAAGATTTTATCAGTAAATTAAAAATGTTACATGAGATTAATATACTACTCACTGACCAACAACAGATATTCAGCATGGAGTAAGTTTGTTTGTGACTTTAGGGATACTACGGAAAAGCTTGAATTGAAGTAGGTAAAGAACAGAATTAAAATCTGCAGCCTAGTTAATCAGTTAATCATGATCAACTCAAAGCCTAACAAGTTTATGGAATGCGCCAAGTAACCATACCGCATTAACATTACGAGATGAAATTAACACGATGAACAGTTAGGGAGTCAAAGTCATGTAATAGTAATGATAAGGAAAGACGGAATGACTAGGTATGTATGAAGAAGTACGAAAACTCGAGATCTAAAGAAGGATAAAGTGAATGAATCTCGATCATTGTGACCGATTTTCAGCCATATTACACAATGTCCGCAACCACTCATCGCAATTATCGTCAGACCCCAATCAGGCAGTCCATATCCACCATGTTAGCTATTGAATGTCAGAAACTCTAAACTCCAAATCATACTTCTACACGTACCATACTATGATATCAGAAGTAAGCTAAAATATTAAGCTAGATTTTAATATTGTTGTGAACATCAACATACTAGAATGTCTGTAAATCTAACTTAATACGACCTAATTTGAAAACAAATATGCATCCTAAATTTTAAGATTAACTTATAAAAAACCAATGATTTTTAATATTAGTGAAAATAAGAAGCAAATAAAAGGTAAAGTTAAAAGAAGCAACAATGTGAAAGTCTAGAAAAACTAATTCATGAGCAAATATTATTTTTTTTACATTGGCAGTACGTTTTTATCACGCACCGATTCACATATATTGTGAATGAATGTTCGGAATGAAAGAGTATGTTACACCAATTTAACACATGGAATAATCGTCTATTTGGAAATAATTAACTATGAATTAATCCATTTAAACAATACACTTTAGAAATCAGAGAATATTCAACGAGTCTATATGAAGCAGAATTTTTCAGGTGTGAAAAGTTGTACTTACTGAAAGCTATTTATTAATTATTTGTGAGTTACAGAAGAAAATGTTGCACCTTTAAGGGGGCTAAGATATTTACAACTTCTTTTTAATTTATATAAATGATATTTGAGGTTGCTTTTGTATGGGTAAGCCTCTTCTATATGCAGATGATCTTAAAGTAGTGTATTCATTTTCTCCTCATGAACTGAACAATATGCAAAATTGTACCAAGTAGTCAAGCAGTGCTCAAGATGGGAATGGGAGCTTAACATGGTTAAATGTGGATGGATATTCTTCGGTAATATATTACTCAACTTATCTTACCATGAATGGTAAGGTGTTATTTAAGTGACATAGAGTAGTGGACTTAGGTACTCCCACAATTTGGTCCTTCACAGAACAGGTCTCGAAACAGACCTCCAAGTTGCATAATTCGTAACCTCTTTAGAAACGACTCATGTATTTTGATGCAAAAGTATGGGCTCGACCACTCCTATAAGACTGAACATTTATTTTTAGTAGTGTTTGAATAAAGGATAAATTAAAGTTGGAATTCGTTCAGAGACAATTTAAACTTTGAATTCTTGGGACTGACTGTACCCTAAATTACAAGTCTAGATGTAATAAACTTGGACTCGACTCTTTATGGAAGAGGAGACTTAAACTAAATATAATCTTCTTCAAAATACCTAATAAACTATATTTTACATCCGATGAAGCAATTCAAAATGCAGAAATTCCTAGCTACAGCATCCGTAACTTTTCGTCATTACTCAAACAATAACATTCCAAATATTCTCTCTGTACGAATTAATTTACAAGCGAATTTTCCAGACTATGGAATAATCTAGCACAATCTGTTTGTGAGGAAAAAAAACACCCACATCCTTTGACCGTCACATTGTTGCTTACTTCTCCAAAAATGCTTTGAATGTTCTCATGTCTGTAAGTATATCATATTCCACAAAACAGATTATAGATACTTTAAGTGTCCAATCGTTTTTATTACCGGACCCACTAAGTAAACCTTCCTACATGCTGTTACTTTACATTAATATTATTACTGGTAACCCTAAATAACCTGAATAGTATTCAACACGAATGGTATGTTATAAAACAATCTGGTACACGTATTACGGTAGACCTGATCGATCTATCGTTGCAATTATTGCTTTTGTTGTCCCACGCTCTTTGCTTCTGTTTTATTTTCCCTAGTGGTAGATGATTATGATCAATTTGTTATGGCGCGGGAAACGACCTTAAATACACTGTTCATACACCAATAAAATATCCACTTAAAGAGAATTAAAATTTCACAACTGATGCCTTTCATTGCTGTAATATATGTGGAAAATGTACTACCTAAACAATTTTTTGAACTAGAACACTTCAAATAATCTAATACCATATATCTATCCTCTACATTTTATATTATTATCGATATCAAGCCGATAATACCTGTAAACTGGCATGAATTCTGTTATTATTTTCAGAATATATTATTATTATATTTACTAAACAAACTCGAATATGCAAATATACTTATATACAATCATATTAATCAGAAAAGTACTTATAATAAATACCGTTTATTAACTTTGCTTGATTCAGAGTCTAGCGAAGTCGAAACTTTATTTGATGATGTATGAACAGATTTATTGATATTTGTGTAAAGTCGACTGATTTTAAGAGTTTCTATTGACGGATTTAAATTTTCATCAGTCTGGTGATTGAAATGAAGTCCAAAAGCTTTATCCAATGATGGCTCCAATTTCTGTAATAAGCGTTCCTATAGGACATAAAAACAAATATATGCTAATAGATGCACATATCAAATTTCAAGACAAATTATTTAGCAAATAAATCATACACAGAGTACGTTTTAGTTTGAACGGCAGTTAGTAGGAAATTCAATTATTGACTTAGAATACGCAAATGATACCTCTCGTAGCTAGTCACTAGTGAACACATGATAATCATCGGTAAATATCAGAGTTCTAGTAAGAAGCCGTGACCAATGGAGTCCAAACATGTCGAATGTGAGGCAGTTACCTACCAAAAACAATGGAAGACGGTCGAACGATTTCGTGGATTTAAGTTAGACGCTAACACCGGTTAATGTCAACTCAGTGGTCTAGAGCCCGACCGTTGGTGTTTCCTTTAGACAGCCAGCATAACAGTGATGTTGCCTTCCCACACTTCGTCTTATCCCGTGGATTTTCGTCTGGGGCGGTAAGGTTCCAACAAGTATGGAGCTAACATGGAAAATGCTCACAAAAAGGTCGAATGGAACCGGCTTCAAGCTATTGTCCCTTGGGCACTGTGACCACGCTCTCAGGTCAGTAAAACCAACCCTAACCGAATTTTCTTTCCAGTTACTTCTAGAAGAACCCTTCCACCATGTGGGCAGCCAGGGAGTGGAAACCACCCTCATAACTCTAACAGCACTCAAGTGGTCTGGAGGTCAAGCGTTTACGTGGAACCGAAGGTCGTGGACCCGAGTCACGCGAGCGGAATCGTGGTTGTGCGTTGCTGATGACTCTCACACAAGGACGAAACAGCCATTTAGTGCTCCCAGGTTTCCAATGGTAATGTGACATTGATCGATTCATAACTTAGATGAAATTCAAACTTCCACAACCCCTTACTGACAAGCTATTAACAGTTGGACTGAGTAATTTTAGTAGGTGTAGACTACCCGGTTTGAGTCCACGTGATTATCATAACCAGTGGTTAGAGACTGTGAGTGACATGGCTTAAAATCATTTACAACGGAACAGGTGCATTCATTCTTAGTCTTCCTTCAAATTCTGAGATTCTAAATTTCTTATGACATATTTCTTTATTTCGCTAACTTCACCTCGAACCGTATCTTCCGTGCCTAACACTCATATTATTACTATTTCTACTACTCGGGGATTCGGCTTGACAATTTCATGTCTGTGTGTTAATGGGGTATGATAGCTTGAACCGATGTACATATGTACCACGTCATATGTTGCGACTGAGTGACTAAATTAATGAAAATTAAAAATTCATTGACAATGTTTACAGACTCTTCGGGTTCTTATAAAGTTATTTGATGAAATGATGTACATGTGACTATTACGTATGACCTATCCAATGATTATTTTCAACGTTGCGACTTAATACTATTTCTAAATCCTTCATTATCACACTAACTTAAGATCTTCATTCGTGTCAAATTATTCTTTAATATTACTGCTCATCATTTATTTTAAAAGTGAGCATGCTCTGACAATGAAGGTTCCTTTTGAAAACGTTGTATACAGTTTCTAACTGTAACATTTATGAGATAACAAGAATTTAAATCTATCAGCCGTGAGACAGAATCCGACAATTTTATTATTTGAAAGCTTGAGATTTGATCCCAGTAGAATCAAGGTATATGTGCTATAACAGTTTGATTAAAAGTCAACTAAAGGATTTCTGATTCAAGTCCGAATGAAACAAACCTAGGAACAGAACTTTATGAATATGCTACTAAGAATGGGTTTTCAACTTTATCAAAACTAGTAGTTGCTTGAAACCCCATTTTTATATTTATTTAAACGCAAATCTTGGTATAAAAGAGTACCAAAATATGTCTCCCCCACACAGCTAAAATGAGATTGCGAATAGGTAGAGAAAGGAAGATGAGGTGAGCATTAATTTACATTTAGAAACGGAAAAACAATCCTCACTAATATTAGCTTTTTAAATGAATACATACATCATTTTAGGTTTTAGAATTACATGTAAACGAACAAAAACATACCAAAATACTAGGAGTAGGTGCTTGTTTGCCTTTTAGAGGTTCAACGTTATTCAGAATATTTACAGTAGTTGTGGAGGCAGAAACAATGTTTGGTGTAAAATTAGTGTAGTCTCCAAAGTCTTCATTATCATCTGATTCCAAAGAATTCCGAGAATTTGTTATAGAAGGCTTATCATCTATTACGTCAACTACGTTTTTATGTACTTCGGGTGAAAATATAGCCCAATCTTCATCAACCGGACCATCACTCACAAAATCAGCAAATTCCTCCACAAAGTTTTCATGAGTATGGGAGTCTTTAGATAAATCTGGCGTCAGAGTTTGTGCTGAATACTTCTGAGGAAGAGGAGATGAAGGATTGTTATGTTTGTTGTTTATTTCCATCACATTTGACGTATCTGTATGGTCTATATTGGTAGGTGCATTATGTACCATGTCAATGTCCGACTCGGTTAATTCTAGATTGGTTATATATGCAGTTTCTTTTTGTGGTAACTGTGGACAGGGCTTTATGGGATTTAAGGATTCATTCTTACAAGCAGCAACAACAACTGAGTTTATATATGCACCGAGATCATGATACTTTTGACTATCAGGAATATCATACGAAATTTCTACCGATTCTGAACTAGATATACTACCAGTGGGGGAATATATTTCTGCATAACCATCGGATATTCCATTTTCATTTACATGTGATAAGTCAGAGTTCTCGATATTATTGAAGTAATTAGCTGGATATGATAATTTGAGATCCACATTGTCATCTAATTGTAAAATAATGGATTTAATTATTGGAAAGTTAGCACAACCAACCTTTATATTCATCATCCAATACAATGCAGTTCTGTTTAGAAGTTTCCATAATTATAGTGTAATACTCTTGTGGTTTCTTGCATCACTAAACAATCAATAGAAAATGTTTTAAAATAAGTAAGATCATGAGCAAAAAATACTTTTTTAAAAAGTCTGTATGAGTTAAACAACTTTTGAGATTAGGAGACTACATATCTCATTTGGTATTATTTTTTGAAACTTCATAAATGTATTCATTCATCATTTTCTTACATAATCAAATTTGCTTACCTCAATCTCTTATTGAACGCGTTATATTTGAAGGTGGGAATAATTTTTGTCTCAAAGCCTTTAAACGCAAAAGAAGCATATTTTAATGAAACTATCTAAAAGCAGTAGAATATTTGGATCTTCGGAATCACAATCTCGAATAGTATTTAAGCCCGATTATTAGAATTTTACTGGGAATCGGTATTTGAACAATACGATTATAACCGCAATTTCGTTAATACAATTAAAAAGCAGGTTTGTTTGACGCACAGAATGGAATACATCAAGTAACAATACGAGGAAGGCATGTTCATTGTGCAGAACCAAGATGAAAATAAGTGACTACAAATAGCGAAGACGGCTCCAGAACAAGGAACCATCTTGATGTGTAGACAATAGAAAAAATACTAAAACTCAAAGTGCGAAAGATTGAACACATATTTGCCATTGTGATCGATCCTGAAACATATTACTCAACTTTTCCAAACACTGGTTGTTGTTATCGCGTGAACCCTAGCCAGGACCCACGAATATCGTTCAGACCAATAGACAATAACTTTGTGGACTGGTACCGTGGTTTGACACCTCTAGCTTCTCTTTAAACTATTTCTTATCTAGCGAGCATGACGCATCGAAGGGGGTGGTTAAATATACGTGATACACCTCAATTCACCAGGTGTGACGAAACTTATGAAATAATTGAAATGAAAAAAGCAGTTAGATACCTTATAATCAATCTAAATGTTAACACAAACCTGTTCTGGAACACTGTTTTAGGTTTAAAGAGAAAACTAGCCCAAAAACCCTCGAATTATTATTCAAAGTATTTCAAACACTCAATTTGATCAGCTTCTACATCAAACAAGGTAGTGTTGTCTGTATACTGGAAGTTAGCCAGTGAGTTTCCTCGAAAGAGGAACGATCCATGAAGAATAAAGTGAACTCGACACAACTGAATCTGAGACATTTTTAGAGCAGTAGTTCTGGGAAGTAGTATTCCATAAAATCATTTAGTCCTGTTTATTTAAAGACCTTTACGTTCAAAGTTTGACATAAACATATATAAATCGTCGAGGCAGTTCTCTTCGCTGAACTACCTTTATACATACCCGACTGTAGCTGCTAGCTTGACGTGGTGATCGAGCTTGCCTATCGTGATGACTCAACCGAGCTATATTGGCTGGAACATATGTTCCTGTAGGTTCTACCATGCCAGGCAGGTCGATTCGAGAACGGTAAGACTAAAAGCAGCAACTCAAGGTCTGAGGGCGAAGTCGTACTGCTGACTCTAGAGGGGTGTGACAGCAGTAAGGTGTTTCCCTCGGACAACCAGCATCTGCAGCGATGCTGCCTTCCCACAAGGAGGGGTGGGGTTAGAAAAGGTCGACCCTAAAAATGTCTTACCACACCTTACCTCACGGATTTCCGTCTCCGGCGGTAAGGCCCTTTGAAGAACGGAGCTAACACATTGAAAACCTTCCACGAAAAAACCGTGCGCGACCAGCGTCAAGCAGTTGTCCTTTGGGCTCTGCGGTCACGCTCCCAGGTCGTCAAGACCAACACTAATCCAATTTCCTTTTCAGGTTCCTCAAGAAATACCCTTCCACGGTGTGGGCAGCCAGAAATCGACATCAGCCCTCATACCTGTAACAGCACATGAGACCAAGTTGATCATAATCAAATCCTTCCTACACCTCTTAATGACTCTGTTGTATCCGTGACTAACCCTTCTCATGTCCTTTTATCACTTCGCACCGCTAGGGAAAACGATTCGAGTACGCGGAACGTTATTCCTGGTCTCCTGAAACCACGCTCTAAACTTCATGTTGGAGCTTATAACGTCCGAACACTGTGCCAAGTGGGATAGCAGGCTTCCTTAGCTAGGACGTTAGAATCCCACGCCACTGATGTATGCTGCGTCTCCAAAACGCACATACAGGATCCGAGTAGCGTCATTCATTTGACCTCACCATATAAAAATAAAGAACCATCTCGATTAACGCTTCGTGTATCTGGAAGCCCTGATGCTGCTTCTCGTAGGTATAGCATTGATTTCTAGGGTAGAATTAGCTTTCCTTGACTGGATCCCAGTAGACAGCCCGAATAAACAGGACAGTAAGGACTCGAAAAGATAGGGACACTCGTCGTTGCCTCTTCGTCGTTTCTGCCTACTCTCCCACTGGCTGCAGCGCAGATGAGCTAAAAGATGAGTTTTACGGAAATCTCTCCGACCTTCGCCGAAAAGCTAGGCGCTCGGATGTAGTAATAGTGGCCGGTGACTTTAATGCTCAAGTAGGTAAACTAAGCGATAGGGAAAGACACCTGGGTGGATCTTATAGCATCGTGGCTCAAATAACAGATAATGGCGACCGTCTGTTGCAGCTATGCTCAGATAACCGCTTGTTCCTTGCAAATACTAACTTTAGGCATAAGGAAAAACATCTTTTAACATGGCGACCCCCTAATTCGTCCCAACGTTGGACCCAAATAGATCACATCTCTATCAGCCACCGATGGAGGGGCTCGATAGAAGACTGTCGCTCATTCTGCAGCACATGCCTAGATTCAGATCATGCTCTAGTACGAGCGCGTATCTATCTGCGTCTTACTGGACGTAGGAAAGACGCTGCAAGGAAACCTCTTAGGGGCCTACTTAATGATAGTCAAGCTAAGAGTATATTTCAGGAACAACTAGGAAAACAGTTAGGCAGCCGTGAAAGTGGTGACCACCTCGAGACAGCTTGGAATGATATCCGAAAAGCTGTGAAAACAGCAGTGATATCTGCTAGTACGGTAACCCGTAAGGTTAGGGAGCAACACTGGATCTCAGCAGCATCTACCGCACTGATAGATGCTCGGAAACTCATTCAACCTGGCTCTGAACATAACGAAGAGCGGAGTCAGCTTAAGCGCAAGCTGACAAGAAATCTACGCAATGATCGTGAACAGTGGTGGGTAGCAGAAGCAAGAGAGATGGAAAAGGCAGCGTCAATAGGTAATAGCAGACAGTTGTTCAGACTTGTTAAGGAAACCGGCATTAGGAAATTGACTATTACCGAAACACTCTCGGAGAAAGATGGACATATCATACATTCTCATTCCAGGAGATTGGATCGATGGGGAGAACACTTTAGGGATCATTTCAACTGTCCTTCAGCCACACTTCGGTTTCCCAAGATCTCTAGTCAACCTGAATGGCGAGTTAATTTAGGTCCTCCATCCCTTTACGAAGTTGAAAAAGCCATAGGAAATCTGAAACCAGGGAGAGCAGCAGGCCCTGACAGGTTGACTCCTGAGATCTTTAAGGATGGTGGTCCAGTATTAGCAGTGAGATTGACTGAAGTTTTAGGTAGAATTTCGGAACTGGACGTAACCCCATCTGACTGGTCTCAATCACTGATTGTGCCAGTCTATAAGAAAGGAAAATAGTCCTCTTGTGACAATCACAGAGGAATCAGTTTGACAAATATAGTGTCTAAAATATTAGCTACAATAATACTTCGACGCCTAACTAAAGCTCGTGAAGAGCAGACTAGAGAAAATCAGGCTGGTTTTCGACCTGGACGTGGTTGTATAGACCAGATATTCACACTACGTCAGGTTCTAGAACACAGACACACATTCAGACGCCCCACAATGGTAGTATTTCTCGACCTTAAAGCAGCATTCGACTCTGCCGATCGTAAGGTTCTATGGCAGTGTTTGACACTGAAAGGAGTACCAAAGAAGTACATTAACCTTGTAAAGGCTCTCTACTCGAACACAGCTGGTCGAGTGAGAGATTATGGCGAACCATCATCAGAATTAATTACCTCAAGTGGTGTTCGTTAGGGCTGTCTGCTCTCTCCATTCTTGTTCAACTTTGTCGTCGACGTACGTTTAGAGATAACACTTTCCTCATCTGACTTTACAGGGGTTGAACTTCTACCGGGAGGTTCACTTGTTGACTTAGAATATGCAGATGACATAGTTTTATTTGGTGAAGACGCTGACAAAATGCAGTCTTATGACCACTCTAAACAACAATGCAAGCATGTTCGGGATGCGATTCTCCCCCTCGAAATGCAAAATGTTGCTTCAGGATTGGGTTGCATCGGCTTCTGAACTAATGATAGGGAGTGAAGTAGTTGAGCGTGTCGATCACTTCACTTATCTTGGAAGTCTCATCAGCCCTTGTGGTCTGGTGTGTGACGAAATCTCAGCACGGATACAGAAGGCTCGACTAGCTTTTGCCAACTTGCGTCATTTATGATGTAGGCGAGATATCCGTCTATCAACCAAAGGACGGGTTTACTGCGCAGCAGTTCGTTCCGTCCTAATTTATGGCAGTGAAACATGGCCTGTAAGAGTAGAGGATATTTGTAGGTTACTAGTATTTGATCATAGGTGTCTTCGAAATACTGCTCGTATATCCTGGGACCACCGAGTCAGCAATACAGTCGTTAGGAAACGGGTGCTAGGTAAGGATGGGCAAATCAATTGATGACGTAGTGAAACTTCATCAGTTGAGATGGCTGGGACATGTGTTACATATACCCAACCACGGACGAGCGATTTTCCAGTGTAGGAGTAGGTTGGTCCCAGGATGTACAAGCAATGCTTCGAAGACACCTATGAGTTGTGACACTACACCAATATATTAAAAAGTCAAAAATAAGAGTGGAAACGACAGACCAATAGTGGAGTCGGATGTTACGGTGAAGTTATATGCGAAAACATACCGATGTTCTGAGGCTATTTTGGAATTAGAACTAGTAGAAGAATGATATGTAAAGATTTGGAATGAGTTTAGTATCTATCATACCATGCAGTTTCATCGGTACATAGTTAGCTAGTAAAATTTCGCCAAAGACATAAGCATATTTGGTAAATACTAATCTAGATCACATACATTCTCGAGAAGATACCCGGATATTTAAGAAATTTTATGATGTACAACAACAGTTTACAAATTAACCTTTCTTAAAGATGAACCATAATCTGCTATATATTCGTGGTAGAAGTGCAGTTTACGCTTTTTCGGGGACTCACTAAAGCAAGGCTTTGCGATAGAACCATCTTCTTTTTTCAAATAGCTGCATACGGAACTGAGGCCTCCGTTTAACGAGTTTATGTATCTAGTAGCAACGGGTGACCGACATTTTGAAGGTAGGAACAAGCTAGTAAAAATCCGGTTGAGACAAAATTTTGTAAAGTTGAGTCCAAGCGAACTGTTAGTGATGGGAGCGATGAGGCCATCAAATATTAGCATAATTTGCAATGGCTAAGTATTACCACATGTGGTCTGTGGCTATACAGTCACTTCTCCTTCTACCCACAAAAATGATTACATGAAAATGATAGATGACGTAAAATATGAGGCATTTATTATTACCTGTAGCATCAACACAGAGAACAAACTTTCTAATTTTTTTAAACAGATATGCCAAACGAACAGACTGTGCCTCTAGTAACGCAAACAACAATAATTGCGGCTCTCAATAACCAATATCTTTAATTGTTTTCCGATCTAGGTTTATGCTTTGAGAACAGAATCTAAGAAGTTTTCTGAAAAATTTGGAAAGCTTTTTTGAAGCCAACTGACTTCAAGAGCGTTTTTGAACCAGCCAAGTATTCGGCAGTCGAAATATTTTATGAAAAACAGACTCGTCAGCCTCAGGACAATGAGGTTGGTTGAGTTAGAGGCTGTTACATCATCAAATATTTGTTTTATTGACCACTATACGATCACGAAAAAGTTATTGGGGTGACAAACATTAGTCCGAACTAGATAAAAGTTGAAGATAGGACAAATAAGTGTAAATGTTCGGAAAAATCCAAAACTTTTGTGTCGAGCTAATATAAACAGATTGATTTTGTGCGCTCTGTTCTTCATGTCACGGAACGTTCCACGATCTTTGGTGTCGTCTGTTGCAGGTGGTTTGTCACTCAGTTGCATTGGTTCCAATGAATTCGATAGTTGATTTTGAGTCAATTTTTATTGGTTATGTGACAGAATTAACACTAAAAACACTGTGGTTAAATAAACTGTTTACACCCCCCCTTTACATTAGTGAATAACTTTCAACATCTTTCGCCTTTATGTTCCTTAAACCTGTCTGTCACAAAATAATATTGTTAATTTAAAAAATTGCAGAGTTGTCTGTTTTTATTGTTTAAAGTGGATATAAAAGCTAATAATTTGCTCAGTGATTAACTTTTTTAAAGCAGCGAGCCTTGATTGCAGCTACAGACAATCAGCTTCTCCAGTTTCTAGATTTATACATACATGGGCTAAAATAAAGTGTATATGTTGAAATATCGAACGAACATTTTGATGACACAAACCAATTACCACCTCAATATCTGTGGTCATACCCTCGCGAATCTTCGTTGTGGCTCCATAAACAAAAAAACAATTATTCTACTGTTAGTCATACAAGAGCACGTACTCTGAAGTAGTTATATTACTCAAACCAGCAGGTATCACATTGTAGCGGTAAATGAATCCCAAAAATCTATAGCTCTGTAAGCATTCGGCATTGGATGCTGACCACATTAGTCTTAATGGACTCACCTGGCTAAAGGTGCTCGGTCATGTATCCGCATCAGATCACGCGTAAGAACGCCGTGCTCAACATCCCCTACAATCACCAGCCAGTCTAGATCAGTCGATTCTCGATATAATCGATAGCCTATCAAATAAATCTTCTGACATTTGATTTGACTAGGTGTTACTGGTTAAAGCGTTGTCAAACTCCAAATACATGCGGCATCTTCATTGATGAGCCCGACGTGATCTGGTACAACAATTCGCAAACTGTGAGCCTGTTCTTTTTTAGAAGTTCATAAATTATTGCTTTATTTTACTTTTCATACATTGTGAAATTTTTTCAGTGTTTTTGTGTATATAAATATTTTCTTCTTTCATTCTCGTGCTTGATATCTCACCATGATGGAACAGACACCCAAGGTACTTAAGTGAAAGACTTTTCCCCCATCTTCATTTCAACTAATGCTTTTCTGGCCAAACAACATCGAAGCCTGGTTCGGCTACGCAGAAGCCGACTTCTGCGAGCACGGCGTGAACGAGACACGTGAACAATTCTTCGCAGAAGTCAAGGCACTACCGCGCGATTTGAGCAGGTAAGTTACACCTATTAAGTTTACTGGTGATGTTTCGGAACACCACAAATCACTTAAACGTGGAGATCCATCCGATCGACAAAGTTTACACCAACTCCCTAATAATATCAATCTGCAACACGGTTCAGAGACGCACATGTTGTTAATAATGAGAGAAGTAATTGGCCAAATAACTTCCGACGATAGCCTATTTAGACAACATTTCTAGTTTGAACTTCCTCAACAGAAGCAAGCTGTGCTGGTCTCGTTTCAAAACAACGCCGTAGACGAGCTGGCTTCATCTTCGAATGCCAAGGTTTTTTCACTCAAAGAAAAACCTCAAGTAACATAGTATGACATTACGGGATTATGTCATACGCTGACACGTTACCTTTGATCTCGTAATGACCGTGTGGGGTCACAAACCCCGCGAAGAAATACTTCACATAAGCGATGTCTCTAGACCACGAGACACAGATAACCACGACTGGTGCCGGTATCAAAATCAGTGCGGAAAACCTTCTCGAAACTGCAGACAACCCTGCAATTTTCTGAAAGTCAAACCGACCGACATGAAATGCGTTACGGGAAACTTCCCAGCCGGCACGCGTTAATGGCAACTGTGGACGACAAACACAGTCGTCTGTTATACGTCACAGATGTGATTGCGAAGGTTCGCTACCTCGTCAATACTGGCGCATATGTTAGCATTCTTCCAGCGAATCCTGACGACCGACTGCATGGACCGGTTTTAAATTCACAGGCGGCAAACGGAAAGTCTATTGCTATATATATCGTAAAAGGTACGTTTACGTTAAACTGGTTTTACGCAAACTCATTCACTATATTTTCGTTGTTGCAGATGTTTCTATGCTAATCATTGTTATAGACCTGCTACAACACCACAATCTACTCATCGATAAGCGCAAATGGAGCCTAGTACACGGAAACACTAATATATCTATATATCCGGTTGCGGATTATCTCCAGGCACAGTCAGGCACACGATAGATCCATTCTATCAACGATTACTCAATAAGTACTCTGGGATATGTCAACCGCAACCGACATTGTCGTGTGTAACCAGCAATGTTACACATCACGTCACGACTGTAGGACCACCTGAATTCTGAAAAATGATACGACTAGCTCCCGAAAATCTGAGGTTGATCAAAAACGAATTGGATCACATGATAGATTGAGAAATCACTCGGTCATCAAGCAGCCCATGGGCATCTCCACTACATATAATCCCTAAAATAGACAGCGTCGATTGGCGTCCAACTAGCGACTATCCTCGGCTGAATGAGTAGACCATTCCTGATCGTTGCCCGTCGCCTAACATTCATGATTTGATAGATACTTTAAAAAGAACGACTGTTTTTGAGAATCAACTTGGATAAACCATATTAGCGTGGTCTCAAGGCTGCTGGTGACATTCCGAAAACCACTAACATCTATCCTATCGGTCTATACGAGTTTTCACGCATGCCTTTCGGGTTAGGAAATGCAACACAAACCTTCCAAAGGCTCATTAAAGACATTTTTTGAAGTCTCAACTTAGTACTTGATTGCAAGTCCGAACAGAGATTGTCATCACCAACATCAGAAACTTGTATTTGAACGACTACAAAAACACGGCATTACAGTAAACATTCAGAAATGCCAAATCAGAACTGACTCCCTAAATTCCCTCATACATACTGTTGATGCTCAAGGCAACCTATGAAAAGCAAAGCGGCGCGCATTCTCGATTACCCAGAACCAACCACAATCATGCAGTTACGCACGTTTAATGGACTAGTACGTTTCTATGGATGATTCATGCCAAACTGCGTGTCCCTTATGAAACCTCTAATCGACCAACTTCGTGGAAATGCGTACCGTGCCCCAGACCACCTTGACAAAAATTTCTGCCTTCACACAGCTATCACATTTCAGTAGATATAACAGTACAGATTTCATGTTGAATGGACACCATGTTAGTGTCGTATTTTTCGTAACTATTATCTGAGTTCTAAGTAAATTATGCTTTCAGTCAACATGAATACATCCCACTAAGAAGAAAGCTTTAAAAAATAACTTAACACCCATTTAGCTGCTTGTGTTTTGTTGTCTTTAGCTTAGAACAGCGGCTGATTATATGCACGTGTAAGGAAAGACAATTCCACGCCTTTTATACAGCATAATACACGTCTTTCAACTTTTCTATGTTATTTTGCATATTATCACTTCTATTACTGTCAGGACTATAATCTTATTATTATTATTATTATTGATACGTCGTGTAGGTTGAACGCTATATACGAATCCTAAGCTATTTCCGTAACCCGCAGACTAGAACTACACAGCGACTTGAACTCCAGAGAGAAGACAAAAGTATGAGAGAAAACAATTTATCCCAAGGTTCATTTTAGTACAGAAAATCAAGGGTATTTATAGATGTTGGCGTCTGTTAAATCAACATCATATTTCAGCCAATCCGTTAACGTCATATTATGCTACCGACCAATGGTAGCACGCCACGCTGGAATTCTCGAACGTTCCGTCATACTCTGATTAACTAGGGCCCTTCGGCTCCTTTTTGGGCCTCTGGAGGCTCCGTTGAAGTTCTTCGGAAGCCGACCCAACAATTATGATCGTTGATATGCCATGGCTCTTTTGCTCTTTGTTACATCCTCATATTTGTTTGTTCCTTCGTTCTTGTTTCATTCTATTTAACTTACTTCCATACCCCTATTTTTTCATTTCTCTTCTTCCTTAAATTCCATTGTTCAGCTTTCATAATGATCCATCTAGTCTCATGGCCTCCAACTGAATGGCTGATGATTTCAGAAACCCAATCGCTCTTGCATTTCATGGGAGAACAACATTGGGCACTGTTATAACTCGTGACGGCCGATCAGAGAGCAGCGACTTATCGATCGGATCAAAGACGCCTAAACATGTGCGAGCAGCGTAGAGACCTGATTGGCCCTGCTTCTCGCCTAGCCCAGCCAGTTAAGTCAAGAACACAAGTTTCAGCCTCTGCATTATGAATCATTATATTTCAAACATACTCTGTTTATATGCCAATCAAGCAGACCACATCGTACCATAAAACAGAAAATAATATTTGTACAATATTTGGACAACAGGAAAAAGACACGTGAAATAAATATTGACCAATGGGAAAATGATACCATTTCAAGTCCAAGGATAGCATTAGACTTAACAGGATAATTTTTGGGACATTTTTCTGAATATCCCAACAGGCAGTCACACCAAAAATGTTCTTAACTCACACAAAAACGTACTCACGGTGTCATCTTGAAGTTCAGAAGATCGTTTCATCCCTTCTTTTCAAAACAGATATAAATTTCCTAGATCGAATACAGAGGTGGGCAACCAAATGTACGATGGGTCTGAAACATAAATCTTGCGATGACATACCCCAGCACTTAAGGTTATTCTCGCTCAGCTATGGCAGAACGCGAAATGGCATGATAATGGCATACTTGTTAAATGAACCAAGTCACTCCAACAAGAAAATATTACCAAAATATCAGATGGATTTTATGGATATTATAGTAATTTCAATGGTTAAGATCATCAACACGCTCATCGAGGAAAACCACAAGAGCTTGCACATAAAAGAGCGAACACCCGGGCGCGACTTCATTTTTTGTCACTAACTGTTGCTTCCATTTGAAACGCTATCCCATTTGCAGTGACCACAACCACCTCACCGGATAACTTCAGGAGGATACCTGACCAACACGTACTCACTTGTAGATTACCATCCCAATATTGAACCGCATGCTCCTGATGCACGTCTCATAATTTACTACGGTTATCATTAAAGAATATTAATAAATACTTCCCGTCAAGCTTATTATCCTCTACGTTTCACCTCTTAGTCTTTCAACCTGATCTCATGTTGTCTGTATCACCAATTAATTAATATATTTATTCCTCGAAACACCCGTCTTCTATTAGTATTGGAATTTTCCGTTTCGTATTTCTTACCTTGTAACCAACCAACCTCCGCATGGTAGTGCGATGGAAGTTGATAATCAGAAACCCTATTACCCTGAATCATACGCAGTCACATGAGTTACACATACAAATCCACAAAAAACAAACAAACTAGCCGGAATTAGCGCAGTTGAGCTGTTAAACTTCCAGCTACTGGACATTACCAAATCCATGGAATCTAATGGAAACAACAAAAACAGTTCAAGGAATCTGTCAGTTTATACAAGCTCATAACAAAAATATTAGATTCCATGGATCGATAAGGAAACCTCAAATCTGCTGAGGTACAGGAAACGGTTTGGTGACTTTTGTCAACAGACAACAAATCATTTAGGTACGGGTATCGAAAAATCTAGGACATATGCAAAAGGAACATAGCTACATGACAAAACACCTACAAAATACAGTTAATAAGTTTATATTTGTCAGAAGAAGCTGCTTCTCAATTGGTGAGTAACTCCTGACGTAGTATTAGTGCACATCGAATGCGGCAACAGTTACTAGTATAGAGTCAACGTACATCAACTTCACGGGTGCAGGAACAAAAAGACTTAGGGGTGACAGCGATTCACGGCTTAAAAGCAACTGTGCGTCATTATCATCAACGGTGGTAGGCTGTTTGAAAATTGGGGCTACCCGTTCCTCCCATCGGAGTGTTTATTTTGATATATTATCATGTCTATTAGTTGCATAACCAATTCAGGCGCATATATGACGACCTATCACCTTTCAAGGTACAAAAAGTACAATCAGAGACATCGTGTTGACTAACAATATGTATTGAAAAAAGTGAACGACAATCAAACGTTGATTCTCGAACTGCCAAATTCTAACTGCCGGTTACTAATTTGCAAGGTGAACTATCTTTTATTTCTACTAAATCAAGACATATATCGTAACTGTGGTGTAATCACAAGCCAAGAATCTCTGTTAAATGATCTAAAAGATGACGGATTAGTATCAATACAAGATTTCAATATCTATTACTGGGATCGATCAAGCAATGAGAAATGCGTAGGGGTCGGTTAGGTTACGTTTGTAAATGTGATCGATCTATGTCAGCATGTTCTAAGCTTACAAACGACTGTCGACTACTCAACTTTACGTTGCGAACCAAAACACTTGAATAAATGTTTGCGTTAACAACATTTACGTAACCTCAAACTGCACATCATCTGCGGTGTGTTTTCGTCGATGACTTCCTTGAATTTGCCGATACTGAGTTCAATACTACATTTCCAGTTATATGTGGTGATTTTATTTCATGTGACTGTAGCGTTCTTCTATCACTAGGTCACCAATGTGTAGTAGATTCTCCCACATGTTTGGATGCCCATTTTGACTTCGTTCTCATTAATGATGTGGGTACATATGTGTGCCGTAAACGTGTCCCATTGTTTAGCTCGGATCACTGTACATTTTGTGTCCTATCTAATATATGGAAATCATGGGAATAGTACACTCTTACATTAAACAAAGGAAGTCAAACACAGGAGTTACTCAGGTGAAAATACTCAAAACATGAAAGACGTATTACATACGACTCAATGGGAGTTATTTGCAAATAACTCACTTGAAAATACCATTTGTTATCCTACTTCCTGTTTTAATGTTTGTTGTTCCACTGAAGCTAATTTTGTAAGTTCTGACTGACTTGCATTTCTACAACTAAAACGATTACGGGAGCAAGGGTAAAGAATGATTGTACGAGGAGTAAGACTCCACAAAAGTTCGAAAGCTAAATGGTTTAATAAACTTGGAAATTAGAAGTCTAAAACTGATGTTTGTTGAAAAATTATCGTCCTGTAAAAACTGTTCACGTATTTGAGAATCAATTAAAAAACGTACTCGCGAAAGACACATTGGGAGCGATAACTAGCCGAATGTTTATGACTTAAATATGTCTCTTATACGTCAGTCACACTATGTCATGCTTCCTATATTCACAGGTTTCATGAGTCGTTATGTTTTGGTTTCCACTAAAACACATATTTGAAAATGTCTCCAGTCACGTAACTCGTTAAAATTTTTAAGACTAGTATCATTAATAAATCCATCTCAACCAACCTCATACCGAAAATGAGGAGAAGGTTAACGATAATTCCAATGCATATGAAAGCATCTGGCGATTTAGAATGTGAAGTGTAGACCTACTGCGATGACTTCAAATTTTCTCAAAACAATGTATAAAGTACTTATACTGCGAAAATTATTGACACTTACTGCTCTAAAAGTGCACATGGATTCTGATGAGATCACTTGAAGATGCAAAAGAAGCACCTCAGGTGCTCCTGTTGTTCTGAATCAAAATATTATATTGAGGTGGAAAAGAGTAGTAATTACTCTCAAAGCGCTCATCTGGAAAATGATTCTATCTTTCATTCTATTTCTAGACAATATCCACTTAACGAAATAATCAGCGTCAACACTGACAGCTAGATAACCAACTGGCTATGTTCCTAGTCCTTTGGAAGAGAACAATAAACAGTTTGATGGAGTGCTCGAATTCTCTATTGTGTGTAGAAGTGCTACAAGTACCTGCTGTTTTCCCTCTGTTTTTCGTTTTTTCTGCTTGATCTGACACCTTACACAGAAGGCACTTTTGTTAACACTTCTGTGAAACGAATGAGTTCTTGTCTCCTATCGAATGGTGGCTTGCTATTCGTGGTTTTATTTTTAGCCCTTCTAAATGTCGAACTGTTAATTTCAGCCTGAGAAGTGGCTAGACCCTAAACATTCCGTTGAAACCCCACGAAGCTTGTACCATTGAAAATTCTTTGGTAAACATAGGGTCAAATGTCGTTTTTCCTCTGATCTATCTTGGTCTACTCAAGTTTTAATACTGTCAAAAAATCAAATGAATGACAAACTGCAAAGAAAGACTGCGTGCTTTTCGGGATTACTCGACATTTATTCTCAGAATTCGTCAGTTCTCGCATATTACTTATTATTCTTTACTGCTCTTCATTGTATTGCGGTGAGTGCTAAAGTCAGTTAGCAGGGTGAGTAACGAATTTTTTTTAGGTCATTCCTAATATGTTTGTAAATGGATATATAAAGTTTTGCGACATCCTCATAAGTGGTAACGCATCAAGTACTGGGGATCCGCTTCATTCACATCTCTTTCCTTGTATGTCTTATGGTAGAACGAAACGTTTATACATTAAAATCGATGCACGCAAGCAAAGGTATAAAAGTCCTACAATATCCTATCTAGCTAATAAACTACGTGATGAACAGGTTGTTAAAGTTCACCTAGTCAGCAACTAGTATTCTTGGATATATTCTTAATTTAAAAAAGTTGTACGAACTTAAATCTTTAAAAAAACCGTCCCCTCAATCCCAGGTAACTTATCCACTTAACTTATGTATAAATGTATGCAGTCACCAGTTTCTTTCCCATGTTCTCTTTCTCGTAAAAGAATCTTGTTGAAATGCATTGTGCTGAAAATTCTCAATTGTATCAAAACTATAGTGTTGAACAAACTCACGAATAATAATCATAAGCACTGGAGCAGTCGCCAAAAAGTCTTAAGCGTCATGGTCACTTCGATGAGTATTCAAATGCTTTGAAGAATATATGTTTTGGATTTTGTACTCTGCTTGTGTGCGACGACACTAACAGTGCTGATAGTTGTCCTATCAAGGCGGCTGACGCACTTAAGTGTTCAGTGCTAAAAACATTCTGACCGCTTCAAATTATCGTGGAACGCGAGGTGACCTTGTACTGGTATTTCGTTTATTTAAATAACTATTTTGGTGTTTGGATGTTTTATTATTGCGCTACTTGTGGAACTTATCATATCTAAGGTCATATCACGGAAATCCGAAAACCGTGAATTAATATACTTCTAATGGGATTCCGTTTTTCTCATCGAGTGGTCAATGACTGAAAAGTCTTACCAGAACAAATGGTTTCAGTCCAATCAGGGAAAATTTTCAGCTTGAGACTAAACCTTCTATGATACTTACAAGTTTTAAAAATAAGGTGCTAACTAAGAAATCTTGAGATAATGCAATTTAAGCCAGAAGTAAACGAACACAACTGAACACGTCATATTTTGAATTCGCAAAAAGCGCGCAATCGCGTTAAAAGCAGTCATCAGTTAGCACAAAAACCACATCTTCACTGCAACACAAGTTACTGGGATGATTACAGGCCTTTCCTTAAAACCGATTACTGAGGACTAAAAACAAAAGCCGCTAATTGTAAACAGTGAAGGTCATCGTCGCTGCGTTGACAAATGAGTCTGCTGTGTTACCTTTTTGTAGTATCTGCTTCTGTACTCCTTACTTTAGGAGATGCAGAGATGGTTGGGGCACCCAGAAAACTGCAACCAAACGAGGCGACTATAGAAAAATTTAATCATGAGTTGGTCAAGGTAGCCCATAAATTCAACTCCGAGCATGGAAACAGCAGTCTTCATATCATAACTAAGTTGGTAAACGTGACCTCCCAGGTGAGGTTCTGTCTTTACAAGTTACCATTTTCACAGGTCGTTCAGGGGATTTTATATACATTTTACGTTAAGTTTTCCCCTACATCGTGCACAACTTTTGCCAGTGACAACACTCGTAAGATAATTAACACCTTTTACTAATATGTGTATCTTAGATGTTTTGGACGACATTTTTCTTAATCAGAATTCTTGTGACGTAACTGATGGAGAGGTATTTTTATTTATGTTAATGCTGTTTATTTTCTACTCAGAGTAAGATTTGCAAGGTCACTGTATGGCAAAGACCATGGCTCCAATCTGATGCTTCTGAAATAATTAAAATAGTTAATTGTTCTACGGATACGATTTGATCTGCTCTCGTTCTATGCTATGCCATAGATTCATGCAATGGTGGAGATTTTAATTTTAACATTTGATTATTCGTATACCGCAAAGTTTGCTTCATTCACCATGCGTGTATTTGATCCATTAGTTAACTAGATTTGAATTTCACGGAAATAACCTGACTTCATACTCCTCAATTACGGCGATCCATTATTGAACCTAATAGTCGCATTTGATTTTGTTTGCAGTAATATATTCTAGTAAAGTAAATATGATTTCATGAGGCTAATATTTTTCCGGCAGTTTACTTCTAATTTCATATTTGGGGACTACCGACAAACAATCCCTATCTCTGGCATTTAAAAACTATTCTTATTAGTTTCTTTTAGCTGCTCTTATAACTTATTCATACATGGGATTTCATTTTAATTTCGGTGTTATAATTGTTGTGCGTGTTTTAAACCGTGAAAACTTGTTAATACTGAATGATAAACTTAAAACTAAATTCTGCCGTGCTTCATTTGTGTTCAGTTAATAAAGGTTTTCTCATATTCAAATATTGTAAGTTGGTTTTAATTTTGTTTGTCTTTTTAGTTCGGTATGTAATCGGAGCTTATATTTTATTTTCAACAAAAATAATAGGTGTAGGAAATCTGCGTCATAATCTTAGGAGACATGTATATTCACTAAATCTACTTTTACATTCACCCTCAAATTCAAAACTTACACAACTTTGTGTTCTTTTGATCTTCCTGATGTATTGTGCAGGTTATATAAACGAGATGAAAAATGACTCATCCCGTCTTATACTGCTTGTCACTACTATTCCATATGTTTTAATCAATCCTTTTAGATTCATTTGTACTGAACATTTTCAAAAATATTAGCTTATAAAGACCAGAGGTTTTAACTGTCGTTCATGATGTGGTCGTTTCAGCGTCAAACAATCTGAAACCAATTACAATGTGAATTGAAAGACATCAAGCCCATAACTGAAGTTATGAATCTAGACCAAGTGGATTAACTGACTAGTGTGTGATACTTGCAAAGTTACTGTTCATCGTGATGTATGATGTTTACTGAAGTATGATTATATTCGGGAAAGCCGAAGATGACAGCGTAAATACTCCGCATTATTCCGAGTCTTCAGGAAAGTAAAGTTAGTATTAAAAGATTACAGATGGAATGCTTAGAACCGACCGTAGTAGGTTGAATGCATTAATTCCTCAAATTGTATTGAATTTCTCGTTACTTATCATTTACCTTTAACTTGTTGCTTCTATGCTACTAGACTTGTTCTGTAGTAAACTATGATAGCTTGAAGAGATGTGCTCTGGTATTTGGCTTAGTTTTCATGTCTTCACATTTGAACTGTCCTGTGCAGTTAGATGTGAGAATAATAAGGATTTCGAAAAATTGTAAAGTGCATGTCTCAGTTCGAAAGGTAAGCTTTTGAAATCTAAGAGTTGGTTCATTAAGGTTATGTGTTTGTCTTTTTTTACTAAGATTGATGAGATCTATGGAAACCCAGTGGGAGTGGGATTTATACCAATTTTTATTTCTTTGTATTCGTAATTGGTATTCTTAAACATGATAAGTAAGTTTTGGCCTTATTATTACCTCTATTATTCAGGTTATTTCAAATTAGGGTCATGTTTAGTGGGTTAAAGTTTAAACTCCATACTTGCACTTAGAAAGGGCTATATAACTCAGGCATCCTCAAGTAAGACAAGATAGTAAAGTGAAATATTAGATCTTTTGAATTTTGTATCTGTTAATATACTCACCTGTTGTCGTAAAGTTATTAATTCTCAATATATTTTGCGCTATGAGGTTACGTTCTACTATTCAAAGTACTTAATATAATTGATATATAGTAGGATAAATCTGAGTACGGTTGGAACCAAATTGCTAAAGTTCTTTTACTTTATACGTATAACTTATGGGAAGTTTAAATTTCAAGAGATACACTTTTTAGTATCCAGAATAGCCAATATCAAGGATAGAAATAATGAACTGGAAATTACCTTATGAGAATTTGATGGGGTTTTAGGGTCTTTGAACATGCATATTTACTCCGTAGAAAGTATGATCTGCGTTATCATACAGTGAAATAGATTTGATTTCAAGTACTTGATACAAAACTGCTCACTAGTTGCTTTCCAAAAAGATTGATAACATATGCCCTGTTTTTAAACCCTTCACGATCAACCCACACAAATTTGTTACAGTTCTTACATAAAAATAACCTGAATGGAAACTTGAGTGAGAAAGGATGTGGACAAAGCTCCAAAGGTTTAGTTGTTGATTAAATCTACGAAAGGTAAAACCAATCGAACATTTTAAATGAAAACTTTTTATCGCTAAAAAGAGTCAGACAATATAATAAATTTGCAAAATATGACAAAATGCGGATTGTCGAGAAAATCTGAAACCAAATAAAAATAGTTACATAGGTAGTAGTGTGCAAATGTTGTATATCTCAGTGTCCAACATATCCAAAAGTTTCTATACACGAAATATTATGTCCAAAATTAGTATTATGAGTAAATGTCTCGAAAATACATCTATCAGACAAATGTTTAGGGCGCCGATTTCAAATATAACAGGTTCGTCATAAGCCTAGTAAGTGGGCAGCAATACTAGAAAACACAGAGCGAACAGAATCACGTGTATTTTATGAACCACAGTTAGTGAACAATGTTTATTTACACCAGTAAGTTGACATTGTGATCTAAACAGACTGTTGTATCATCAGCAATCGACAATCAACAACTTAAATGAAACTATGAGAAATATAAATAGTAGGAAACATAATTCCAGTCTTATTATACCATCTCTACATAGTAAGGGAACTGTCCAAAAGTTATTCTGAAGTAATACTGATGCGAAGTATTTAGAATCCTTCATGAAATATTTGATTGTCAGGTGATTTAATTTTTCTTCCTGCTATATTTTACATTTTTATTTCATGCCAGCTGGAATTCGTCTTTCCTTATTTTGTCGCGTAGTTTCTATTTCTGTTTATAATTTAACATGTCACTTTGTGTTAATCTGTCAGTGTGGTCAAAAATTCTACCAAATTTGGAAAATGTAAAAAAACCTATTCTCTAAAGTAACTTTTTAAAGTTTACGAGTTCGATCAACGCTAAGGGACTAAATAAGTGACATTGGTTACTACTCAATTATCAGTCATTTGTAAAAATCCCAGTCCGACTGTAGGTTAGTCAGAAACTGGATGGCTTTTTGGTGACGTTTTGAACTGTGAAGCTGGGTTGCGAGGGGTCGGATCCTACGGGGGAGCGTTACTTCCTTCAAGACTGTAGATACATGCTACTGAAGAGTTCCATATAACACGTGACCTAGGTCAACTAGGTTTTTCTGCCAAATACATCCAACTACCCAAAAATTATGAGATGTCGAACATTTACGTTTCTACTCTTTGGGATATTACAATTATTTCTTGAGTTCTAAAAACCAGTTTATCACTATATATATATATATATATATATATATATATATATATATATATATATATATATATATATATATATATATATATATATATATATATATATATATATATATATATATATATATATATATATATATGGGAAACGCCTTGATATTATCATTAGGACGCAAGTATTTTTAAGCATGGTCAGATAGAGGCTATCAGTGGGATCGAACCGTTTCGTCTTGTTTGAGACTCATCAGTTGGAAATACCTAAATCCTAGAGTTGGCGATCACTGGGATTCTTGAACGTTTTATATCATTCGATACTTATGTTATAATTTACTGTCTGATGACACAATAAGGTCTCTATTAGTGTGGTGCTAAACTGCACTCGGGTAGACTAGATAGACGTGCGCATTCATTGTATTTCTGAGTATTAAGTAATCACCACGTTTAAAACATGCATTTGTATTTCCTGATAAGGATAATGCTTATGCTTGGAAACTATGTTATTAATTGTACTTTGGGATCATTAGTAATGTTGGTACAACTAAGTAGAAGTGTCACAAGTTTAACACTTCCATCAGGTATATTCTACGATAAGGTGTTTGAAAAAGTATTGATAAATGGTATCAATAAAATATCTATATGGACGAATATATTTTCTGTTTTTTTTAGAAGCGTATTTATATTTAATGGAAACTTGACTAATATGATAGCTTTTAACTAATAAGAAAGTGAACAATCTGTAAAAATACTTTGCAATATTGTATTGTTTTATTTTGTGGTCCGCTGTACGATGATTTCAAGTTGAATACAAATTAATCCTCGAAATAAATAATTAACAATCGATAAAGATCAACAGAAATTTTCGGTAAAACGTATGGGACTACAATAAACACTGAAGGGTAATTGATAAAATATGGCCTTTTAGAAGGTGACGTCAATTATGAATCTTGTAAGGGTTATAAGTTCTTGATAGGTTAAGTCCTATGTAAATTGATTAATTTCAAGAATGGGATACTTAAATGCAGTGCCCGAAGTTATTCTTTTAATTTAGTCCCAATGAAATAAACACTAATTATGCAAGTGACTTATCGGAAGCTTGACATCATTCGAAACATTGTTATAAATTTGTTTTATTGTTGATCCATGTCCATCTAAGTGTACACTCAGACTTGGTAATACGTCTACAAGTTACACCACCAATTTCAACGAACTCAACTCTACCGAAATCGTCCTCCTGACCCACAACTCTTCGTCATCTCGGTTACATTTTTAAGATGTAGTAGGTAGTTGAAGATTCATCCTTCATATTCCTACTAGTATTTATATCAATGTCATTATTGTTGTAGTTGAAATGTGATTTATATAATTTACCATTTTAGCTAGGTTGCGTACACACAACAAAACACAGTGTTCGACTATTTATAAAAATGCATCTGTCGTTATCGGAGGTTTTGCGCTATAGAAGTTTCAGTAAATCAACTAAATATCCCGTTTGTTCAAATACTTATTATTGTAGTGAGAAATGATAATTCAGTAAACTGACTTTTAGAAAATCTTGAAGTGTTTGAATAGATTTTGTTTTCTTAATACTATAAAAGTGTAGTTTCTCGGCTTTTTTTAGAAACGTAAGTCATGCATCCGTTTTTAGCACGGATCAAGTAGATTGGTTTTATACGTGCTCCAAAATTCACTGTCATTTCAACACACTGACATTAGTATTCTCGGTTATAGACCTGCTGTGTCAAATACCGTAAGTGGTCTAAAATTACTCGAATACGATTTACGAATAAGTGAGATCATTTCGTAATTCTACACTTTATTAACCGATGATTGAACTGTGACAATCATGGTATTGATATAATTGTCACTTGGATTGATTTCGCTTGTTATTCTTTCTTTTAACACTTTCTAATGTATAACATGTATTCGCTTTATGACAAAACATTAGAAGTCCTGTTTTTTCCTTTTTAAACATCATCCTTAAACCAATTTTCTAAATTTGTATAATTCACATTTCAAAACTTTGAGAACTTTAACAGTAAAGCGGAGGATTAGGCTTACAGCACATTTGACTGTTCATGTTTTCCTGAATGTCAAATTTTCACTCAAACTTTTGATCAGAAAACCTTATTACATCATCTTATTTCAAATTGAATTATTCTGCTTTATAGTTAACACTCAACTAAAATTGCATGAGTTTTACCATTTATCATTCGTTTGTAATTAACTCGAATTGAAAAATGATGAATTTTTATGTATGGTTTCTCAGCTTATACTTACTGTTTTCTCTTTTCTGTTGCCTTCTAGAAATTGTATATATTTCTTTTAATTAACATCGAATATTTTAGTTATCGCAAACACAGTTCATAAATGGTCAGTAAGTAACAAGACATTTTCTATATACATTCTAGTAAAACATTTACACAACATCCGATTATCAGTCAACCTCTTAAATATTCAACCTGAATAACTAATCTGACTATTTTTCCTTGACGTCAAACAGTTGTTGATAAGTATGTTTATAAAATATATGAAGTTTGGATTCATACGTCCTAACCACTGATAAAACGTGATCGTTTATTTTAAATAAGGTGACCATTGAATGGTTTATTTATTATTACTGTCGTTCATAAACTTTATTATCACTAAATATCACACTATATTTTTAAGGTTACTTGTGTCACATATAATCCACTTTATTTTGGTAAAAAAAACTCATTGAATAATATGATCATATAGAAATGATCAGATTTTAATAATTATATCATAAAGGAAGCTGTTTATTTTAATAACAAAACTGTCTAATATGGAATCATATCTAAAATTAATGAATAGTTAGCGTTGAATGTGAATCGATTGAAATTAGCCATTAACATCATTGGATACCGGCTTAGTGGTCTAGAGATTAAGCGTTCATGCTCGATGCTAAAGGTCGCAGGACCGAGTTTCACTTGCGGAATTGTGTATGCGCACCGCTGAAGAGTCCCATACTAGGACGGAACGGCTACTAAATATTCTCACTGGCGGTCTAGCTTGGATTGACTCAGGAATTCAACATTGAAAATGAATAACACAAATGTCGGAAAGTCAATTAAAAAAGCATCATAATCTCCTTTCAATTCAATGCATGTGATTAGCTTGATATTTCCAGTGATCTTTAGAGTGAGGGATGAAAAGCCTTATCATATATATTACTGTATATTACTTTTGCGAACCGAAGCAATGCAATTTAACTGATAGTATCATCCAACATTATGCTTATCCTAAGAGATCCTGTTTGATTATCAATCCTGAGCAGTTGTTAAGAGTTAAATAAGTGGATACTAAGATAAGTGCTTAGTAGCATGAAGCATAGGTTCAAGGATTTGTGTCAACTATTTCCAACTAACTGAATGAAAACGGTGTGCATATTGCTGAGTCACTTTGAGCAATAACCATACAGAGACTTGGTCGACAGAGTCAGATTAGAACCAGATAAACATAACACTGGTTAGTGCTAAATGATCGATCAGTGCACTTAATTCACCGGATTGATATGTAAAAGTTCATGTATCCTTTGCTCTCGCTGCATATGGTTGTTTTGAATCGTATTTATAACATCAATGGGCTGCAAAAGAACAACCTATTAAATTCTCGCTTGCTAATCGCTTGTCAGAAATCAAGTGCAATACATAGAGATCCTGAAATTTATGACTTGGTATCGTCTGCAAAAGTTATTGTTCAGGTCCTTCCCTTTACTATGAGCTTATTTTATTTCCATTTGTTGATTTGTTGTTTTTCTTTTCATAAATAAGTCCGTCAGCGAAATGACATTATATTACTCTGTTTTATTAATATTATTATTTCAGAAGTTGTTTTCTATCCAGGCTTTTTCTACTAGTACTCAAACATCTCATTCATTTCAACTTAATGAATGGTCACAAATGCCCTGATACGGTCGAGGGTAGGGAGAGTTCGTTCTCCTTCTCAAAATGCCCTCACATGGTCACGGGTATACAGCCCCTTTCAAGGAATTTCTACTCACTACTTTCTCGCAGTATTCCTGTTGTTCACGAAATTGAGAGGACGAAACGCGAATGTCAGGCGCAATGACAAGGTTATTGGATATGAAGGATCGACCTAGAGGGAGTTGGAAAACCCTGATTCGAAACCAGTGGTGCACATGGGCTCTAGGATCCTGAGGGAGCAATTGGCATATGAACCAATCGTTAGTCACCGGTGACCATGTGACAGCATCTTCTAACGTTGCTCCACTGCCTTGTGGATTAGACCCGTAGGTCAAAGGCTCGGGGTGTGGTCCTCTAAAAAAACCGCCCGTTTAATTTTAGGCGTCTGGACAGTGTTCTAGTCCTCACACATAGAATGGTGAAGTGTGGCGCACATATATTTGGTGCTTTCATGTACCAATGTTTATGTTTAAAAAATCAATAAATAAATACACAGTGACTACGTTCACTTACATATATATGTATATATCCATATTCTTTTCAAAAAGATTATGTACTCAAATTCCATATATACCATTTATCAATGTTAAAAGTGAACCAGTTGGAAAGAATCCCTTTTCTGAATAAATTACTTTATAACTTAATCAGTATGTCCAGAAAATTAAAG